TTACCCTAAAGTAGGGAATTTGAAAAGCCTTCCTGAATATAAAGAGTGTTACCTCTAACCTTTATCATCACTCAAGCCTAGCCTGTAGTTCAGGACAGGCCTAGTTTTCCAAGAACAACCACTCAATATTTTGTATCTTAGGTAACAGACTAAGAAATTGGGTAGCTGGTAGGTTAGTTAATACACATTATATCCTTGCGTGTGTCTGTGCCACCAGTAATTTCTATACTATCCATAACCCTTGTAATTAGATTTGAGGAGAATGGGGATGTATTCACTGAGATCTGGAACAAAACTAATTCATCTTTGACATAGACCGTATATGACATAGGACATTTGCAAAAGGCAGAATGGCAAAGTAGATTGACTCCTAGACTTGGGATCAGGAAGACATGAGTTCGGTTCACACTCCTGAAAACTGTGTGACCATGGCCAAGTCACTTAAACCTTCTCTGAATGTCATTGCCCTCATCTGTTCTGTTTTCATTTCCTTCCGAGGCTCCACTCCGTATTCTCCAGACTTTATCACATCACAGAAACCTCCTCATTTTGGAAGTTCATTCCAACTCTGGATTTCTCACACTGGAAGTACTCTCCATCCCTGCAGCAGCTTCCTCTGATTGGCTGGTTCCTGTCTGAACTTCCATGTTAAGGACAATGTCCAGGCCAGCCATGTCTCAGTTCTTCCTCAGACTCCACTCCTGACTCGCTGGACCTTCTCTCCCATCCTTCTACCTGGGTACATTTCCCTTCCCAACTCATTGCTTCATCCTCACCCCCAACTTTTCAGCTCCTTCTTCTTCTCCATTGTTGTCTTCCTCAGTGTTGCTTTCCCCATTACAATGTAAGCTCTTTGAGGGCAAGGGTCTTTCTGCTTATATTTGTATTCCCAATGCTTAGTACAGTGCCTGGCACATAATAAGCATTTAATAAATACTTGTTCATTTGACTTGACTTAGTGACTTAAAACCATAATAATTCCTGCAGTACAGTGTTGTAACATATGTAAAGTGTCAGATTTTAAAGATCTATAAACATTTCAGTTATTTTTATAAAACATAAGACACAGTGTTTCCTTTGCCACTCTTTGTCCTCTGTTCTTGAGAGCCACCAAAGGGAATTCTTAGTTTGTGTGTGGACATAGATATTCTAATCCTTTAAGGACAATTTTGGAGTCCTCCTCCTTGAACCTTCCCCTGGCAATGCCAGTCAACTTTAGAATCATATTCTTAAAGATGAAAGGGCCCTTGTTGTTGTTTAGTTACTTCAGTTGTGTCTGAGTCTTTGAGACCCCATTTGGGGTTTTCTTGACAAAGACATTGGCGTGATTGGCCATTTCCTTCTCCAGTTCATTTTACAGAGGAGGAAACTGAAGTCAACAAGCTTAAGTGACGTGGCCAAGGTCACACAGCTAGTAAGTACCTGTGACCAGATTTGAACTCAGGTTTCTTTACTCCAGACCTGGTGCTCTATCCACTCCATCATCTAGCTGCCCGAAAGGGCCCTTCGGAGCCATTTAGTTCAGTTGTCTCATTTTAGAGATGAGGAACCTGAGGTCTAGAAGGGTTAAGTAATTTTTTTTTTCTCTTTGTGCTTGTCCATAGCTTTCATTTTCTTGATTATATTCAGTTTAATTCCATATTATATACTGGCTTCTTTTACCTTTCATCTGTACAAATGTAGCCTCTCCTATAACATAAAAAGTCATTGACGGCAGAAATTGTTATAGTCTAGGTTAAAAAAAATTCCCCAAATGGGAACACATTTCTAGGCATGTAATAAAGCTCATAAGTCTAGAGCTTGAAGGAACCTTAGAGGCTATCTTCATTTTACAGGTGAGGAAACTGAGGCCCATGGTGATGAAGTAAGCCTCAGAGATGGAATTTGAACTCAATTCCTCTGACTATAGTTTCAGTGCTCTTTCTATTGTGCCAAGCTGCCTTCCTTAGTATAGTTCACAAGAGCTAGATCTGAAGAGGAATTTAGAGAGAATCTGGTCAAATTCTTTCAGTTACAGTCGAGGAAAGCAAGGCTCACAAAGGTAAAGTGACCTTTGAAGTGACCTCATTGACTGCAAATAGCACACCCAGGATTAGAAATCATACTTGGCCTTTGAATCCATTGTTCTTAGGACTACATGTGCCCCATGCATTCTGGTTGGATTGAGAGATCATCCTCCTTCTTCCCTCCCAGCAGATGAATAAAAATGACAAAAAAAGAAGACGACTAAATTGTCCAAAGGGGTGAAAGAAAACAGGGACATTAATGCACTGTTACTGGAGCTGTGAATTGGTCTCACACATCTGGAAAGCACTCTGGAACAATGCCCCCAAAGTTATGAAATTGTACATATCTTTTGTCTCAGCAATACCTCTATCCCAAAGAGATCAAAGAAAGAGGAAACATACCCATAGGTACAAAAATATTTATAGCAGCCCTTTTGTGGTAGCAAAGAACTGGAAAGTAAGAGGGTACCCATCAATTAGGGATCAACTAAAATAATTAAGGTATAGGAATATAATGGAACATCATTGTGCCATAAGAAATTAACAAAAAGGGGATGGTTTTAGAGAAATCTGGGAAGACTTTTATGGATTGATGCAGAGTCAAGTGAGCACCACTTGAGAATAATTTATACAACAAAAATGCCCAAAACTAAGAACTTAGAAAGCTGCAAGAACTCTGATTAATGTGATGACCAAACCTGATTTCAGAGCATCACCGAGAAAGCATACCACTTGACAGAGAGGTAATGGATTCAAGGACAGAATGAGAAAAAAATTTTTGGACACAGTAATAGAGGAATCTCTTTTGCTTAATTGTGTCTTTGTTGTAAGAGCTTTCTTTTTACCCCCTTTCTCTTTTTCTCTCTTTCGTGAAGGAGGAGTGGTAGGGAGAAAAAATAAATTTTTGTTAATTGAAATTTTAAAATTTAATTTTTTAAAGAGATCATTCTTCATTAAAAAGAGTGCCTGTGATCCTATCAGGACAGGTTTTTGTTATTTTATGATAGAAAAAACCACTAGAGTGGTTTCCAAAGTGGAAAGTAAACAAGAAGGGATATCTGAATCACAGAAATAAAACATAACAAATCCAGCAGCCTTACTAGGAATTCCTTTTTTTTTTTTTCAGGCAATCGGAGTTAAGTGACTTGTAAGTATCAAGTGTTTGGTCTGAGGCCACATTTGAACTCAGGTCCTCCTAACGTCAGGGCTGGTGCTCTATCCACTGCACCACCTAGCTGCCCCTAGGAACTCCTTTTTTACTCCTACTAGGTTACAGGGCCAGCTCATGAGCTCATGAGATGGCTCATGAAGCTAGATTAGAAAGAATAAAGGTAACTTTCTTAAGCTGTAAACAAATGTATTTCATGAAAAGGAAATTCCTGAAAAACCACACACACGCACACACACACACACACACCCATTGGTGCGTGACTCTAGCCTAACAAATCAACTCTCAGCTCAGAAGATTTTGCAAAGGAGTTTTTATTATTAGTTCAGGCTTATCACATAAATATTAATAAATAAATAAATACATTTAATTATTTTATTTAAAAAATCGCGTTCATTGCTCTTAAAAGGAGCACATTGACAGACAAGGTCTGTATCTAAATCTCAGATACTTCGATGACATTGGGCTGTTCCTTGAAGAATAAAACAACATTTTCTCACAGGTTTATTTGTGCATTTTCACATGAAGAATAAAGTTTGGTATCCCAACAGATAGTTTCATGGGGGAGGATAGATGTCTGGGTCTCAGTTTATTTTTTCTTTTCTCTGTTTCAGTTCTGCATCATCCCCTTTCTATATTTTTATCCATGCAGAATAGTTCTGGCTTATGTTCTCCTATGGTACAGAATCTCTTTTGAGATTCCAAAGGTGAACTTATGAATAATGTAAACATATTTATTTTCTTTCTCTTTGGCCCAGCTGGGAAGCTAGTCCTCATTTCCTTGTTTCAGTAGAAAAGATCATGCTTGGCTCAGTAAATATAATGTTTAGTAATCATTGCCTTGGTCTTGATGTTGTTAGCGAGAGAATATCAACAATCATAGCATCTTTCCTCCCATTTGATTTAAAATATCCTTTATAGGCAATGTAAGGATATTTTTTCTAAGACTTTTGCAATCTTACATCCTACCTATGTCTAGCTCTTTACTACTGAGTGGCAATTAGGACCTCATGGGCAGAACATAATGTTCTTACTAATTATCATAAAACTGATGCATTTTTTAAAAGTTTCAATACAAACAAAATCTGGCAGAAATAGCACTCCAATTCACATTTTGCATAAAAGGATACATTCTCAATGAATGTCACATACAAATATGAAAAATACACAAATACTTGGGCACTCTACAAATGTTAAACGCTCCCTTCAATACTTCTTGAATGTGGTTTCATCATAATCCCTTCACTGACGCAGAATGCAACCCTTCTATGCCTTAGTTGCAGACATTCTTGAGTTACTGATCACTTTGACTGGCCTTCGCTTTGGTGATGGGCTACTTTGAAATTTGAAAAACTGGTTCTTGGATGGACAAATATTCACAAATTTAATGTTAAATAAGAGTAATAAATTAACAAATATGTAAAATTATTTTAAACACAAAAGTTAGTTCCAAACAGATAGACTATAAAAGATATCAAGGGCCACACATGCAATCCCCGCTGCTAGGGAGGCTGAGGCAGGTGGTTCCCATGAGCTTGGTAGTTCTGAGATTCAGGAAGGTTAAAGAGGATTGGCTGTCAGCACTAAGCCTGGCACCAAGCCCCTCCAAGTTGGGGTGCAGCGGTGTTACTAAACTGCCAAAGAAAGGGCAAACCAGCCCAGGTCAGTAACAGAGAAGGTCAAAGCTTCTGAGCCCACCAGTAGTGAGATCAAGCCCATGAGTGGCTACTGCCTTTCCAGCCTTGGGGGAAATGGGGAGACCGAGTCTCAAATAAATAAATAAATAAACACATAAATAAATAAATAAATAAAAGATATCAAGCTAAATAAATACTGATTGATTTTTTTTTTAGCTCAAATTAACTGGTTGTTTGGTTCATTGGGCATCTGGGAACTGAAATATAAAAAAAGATCATAATCCATAAAAAATAAAAGTAAAAGAAAACTAGCAGATGATATTCATATTTCATTTCACTTGATCCTTTTTTTTTCATGTTTGCTTCATCTCTTCTCTTCATCCAGTGTAGTATCATGGGAGTTTAACCTGTGGGAGAGGGCCAGAAATGTAGATCATACTGCCAACTGCAGTATCACCTTACTCCTATTTTCAAACAAAATAACTTCCTGGAGCTCAAGAACCTCGAACAATTCTTATTTCGGAGTCCAATATCAGATTTTCCTTACGTGCCCTGGAATTTGTGCTTGAGGGCTGAGATTACGGTTTGGCAAATTGGGGTAATCACCCTGGAGTCCTATACTTTGAGGAGCCCTTGCAAAGCTTTTTGGGCCAAGTAGGAGAAATCAATGGGCTCAGGAGAAGGTTTGTGTTTAAAAACTAACAATTAAGCTTGAATGCTCCTAAAACACAGATCTATGCCTTGGCTCAGCAGTTCTGAGGTGATAGCAGTAGGTTTATCAAGCCAATTGAGTGTCCACCCTAAATCTGGTGCAGAGGGCTTCCAGGATGCTTAAAAAGGGCTAACCAGCCCAGGATAGAAATGGAGCTGGTCAAAACTCCCAGGTGGATGGGACTGGCCTGTGAGTGGCTCTTATTCTTCTTGCCTGGGTGAGATAGGGCCACCTAGTCTCCAAAAGAAAACAAAAACAGAATTAAATTGAATTTTAAAAATAAAGTTAATAAGCCCAAAGGAAGGCTGTGGGGAACCTGGACTGACTGGTGATAATGTCCCTCTCTTCCCTTCCACTTATCACTTAGGTTGTGTATTGCCTTTTTGTCCCATCTCTTCTTCCTTTTTCCTTCAAAGTTACCCATGTCTTCACTTATATCCAAACTCTGGGTGACCCAGTATGATTTTTCCTAGCTTTCACATCCCTCCCTAGGATGCTACATAGTAGCAGCTTAACACAGAGAGAGCCTAGCATGGAATTGGTACTTCTCTCTTCACTTCCTTCTGCTTTTTCCACATCTCTCTTTCCTCCAACCTTATTACTCCCTTTGTATTGTTCTCAAATCCCTCTCTCTCCCCTCTGCTATCCCACCATTCCCTATGTCTGTACTTCCCTGCTTCATTCTCTATCTTTGCATTTTTCTGTTGTTTTTTTTGGTGCAGAAGTTAACAGAAATAATACTATTTCATGCAGTACTCACAGGACACAGATGCCCAATTGCTCCAGAATGAATTATAGTAGCGATCGATGGCCTGCACCTGAATTCTCTTCCCCTTGTGACATTCAACTTGAGCAGAGGTTGTTTCTGTGAAGCTATTCTGGATCAAACAAAGGAGAAAACAATCTGTTAACACACTGGGATGAGCCACTCAGGATTGAACAAGGGTAGGAAAGGAAACATTATTTCTCCAAGCATGGTCTTCAAGCTGTCATTCATCTTGTATTGTAAACTGTAACTACAAATACGTTATAATGTCAGGTGGGCATGCTAGGCAGTGGGAGACATGGCCAACTGTGGGGAGATGGTGCCACCTGCTGGTATTGTACAATAATGTACCGATTATGTAACAAGCACCGTGCTAAGTGCTGGTCACAGCCATTTGTCATATTGACTGTGTTGCTGAAGTATTCACAGTAAATGGACAGACTGATATGTGAGAGATTCAATTAAGACCTTTCCTTATACATAGGCACAGTCAGTACCAAGTTGCTAAATTTTCATCTATGTGCCACAGTGCACAATGGAGAGCAAACAACTTACTTTTTCTTTCTTGCCCTTGCCATGAACTTGAACAATGAAATTTAGTGGGAAATAGGAATGTGGTGTACTCCAGGTCTCAGGATACTCCCAACTTATTTCCACAATCCTAGAATTCTTTAAGGGTTTGACACGAAGGTTCCTGGGTGGGTCTGGTTTGACTATGGAAGGGGAAAGGGATAGCATTAATTTTCTTGAGGCAAATCTGGATTATCTGAAGCTCCCTTAACACATCAAGGAATAATCATGAAGCTGTAGGATTCAATTGTGTTTGGCATAGGTCATGCTCCTCTTCTGGTAAATCATCTTCATTGGCTCCCTATTGCTTGCTAAGTAAATTTTGAACTCCTTTGCATAGTGTCCAAGGGTCTTTGCCATCTAGCACCGAGCTAACTTTCTAGCTTTATCTCATGTTATACTTTTGTTTTGCTCTTCCTTGTTATCTCTAGTGCCTAGCACATAGTAACTCCTCCCCCCAAAAACAGTATGCTTCAGCTGACAATCCCCTAAACATGCCCTATGATTTTTCTACCTCTCTTACTCTATCCGCTACACTTAGAGTCTTATTTAGAGCTGGAAGGGACTTTAGAGGCCATTAAATCCAAGCCCATGATTCTACAAATGAGGAAACTGAGGTTAAGTGATTTACCCAGGGTCACACAGCTAGTAATCATTATCATCATTATTATCATAACCAACATTTATGTAGTACCTACTGTGTGCCAGGCACTGTGCTAAGCATTTTACAAACATTATCTCACTTGATTCTCACAACAATCCTCTAAGTAGTTGAGGCAGAATCTGAACCCATGTCTTCTTGAATCCAAGTCCAGTATTCTAACAATTGCCCCATACTGGTTAAATCATAGATCTAGACTATTGCCCATTCCCACCCACCAACTTCTACCTTGAAAAAAGTCATGGAGGGCAGTAAAAGAAGCATTAAAATAAGATATTTTGCTTCACTTCTCCTGTGAACATGTTATGCTTCAAGGGTTCTTGGGTTTAGTTACCCCTGAAACTAATTATATATAAAAATCAATTGAAAACATACTGATATCTCTTACGAAGAAACTGCTGGTGTATTTTTCGTATTTGTGCTTCTGAATAGCGTCTAGGACAACCTCAATTGGCTGGCTTTCTTCAGCAGATGGGCAGGCGCTGACATCTTGGCAGTCTGCTGTATATTTTTGGTATTCCTTGTTGTCTATTTTGACTTTTTCTTCAGAGAGCACAGCGGGCCCACATGTTACCCCTCGGGGATCTGAAGAGCTGAAATCAGACAAAGATTTTCTAATCTTTCTTTTGGATTAGGTTAGGTGGTCATATAAATTTGCCTCCTAGGAAAGTCTGAGTACATTTGACTACTACTAGTAAAACAGGAAATAGAAATAGTTTTTCCAGTCTTCTGGATTTTGCTATCATGCCTCAATTGCTGTGTCACCCTAGAACTTCCTTCTGTACTTAGGGCCTCCTAATCTCGGAACTCATAGCCTCCCAAGCAGCCTTCTCACCCTGAAACATCCCTCCTCCATACTAGCCCCTTTCTTCCATTAGTGAATTTCTTCTGGGGCCCAGATTGGACAATCATCATTCTCTTCCTGATTTTCTATACTTTAACAACATGCTCCCGGGAGCTACCTTCACCCCCACCCTCTCCCTCCTTGCTTTTCAGCTCTCTTTTGTGTTTGTCTTCCTTTGTTAGACTATAAACTCTTTGAGGGTAGGCATGTTTCTTTCTGCTTATTCCCAGCATTTAGCAAAGTTCCTGGCATAGAGTAAGCATTAACACATTTTTATTGCCTTGCCTTGTAGCTTTGCCAATATGTCAAGGAATCATTGTTCCATAATTTAGTAGATAAGTCTTAGAGAGTCCCCTAAGAGTCAGAGGACTTGAGTGACTTGTTCATGGTCACCCAGCTAGTAATTGTTAAAGGAGGGACTTGAACCAGGGAAGCAGATCTAGGATTCTAAGACCAGCATGCTATTCCTTATGCCACATTGCCTTTCCCTGGGAAAGGAAGGCAGGGAAAAAATGATAACTGGTTAACACTTAGAGGAAACTCTGGTAAGTCCAGGGAAAATTTCTGGTGGACTTTAGAGTTTTGGAAGCCTTCAGTATGACTAGCTAGAGCAGTGATGTAGGACTCCTAGGTTCTATTTCTGGCTTAATCACTGACTCAAGCCGCAACTTTGTGCAAGTCAGCCTTAACTTCCATTTCTTCTTTTGTCACTCCTCATGGCACTGCTGGTCTTACTGAACTGAGTATGTCTCAAGAGACCAGCTGTGAGTTGTTGTTTTTTTTTTTTTTTTTTTTTTTTTTGCGTGGGACTCATGTCTGCCTACGAACCAAGATACAGCCTGGATTTTGAGTCAGAGGATCTAGGTTCAAAGCCTGGCTCTATCACTTATCTATTATTTGTCCTGAAGAGACACTTAACATTTTGGGGCCCATTTTGGGTCCTTACCTATAAAATGAACAGATGGGACTAGAAAGAGATTAGATTAGATCATGAGTTTCTGGAGAGCAGGGACTATTTTTGCTTTTCTTTGTATCTCTAGAATTTGGCACAGTGCCTGGCATATAGTAGGCTCTTAATAAACACTTGCTGACTTGGCTTGAATGTCACTTCTGGTTCTAAATCTATGATTTGGGGTGGCCGAATTATAGATAGTAGTATCTTCTTTGAGTAGACAGATACTTGGCTTAAGTCTTCAAACTCTTTTCCCAATGCAAAAGCAAAATGGTGAAGATTTTAGAAACCCTGTTTTTTGAGTTTTATTTGTTTTTCTTTAGTAGATCATTGGATTACAGATTTAGAGCTGGAAGAGAACTTTAAGATCAGCTAGTCTAATGTTCTCATTTCACAGAAGAGGAAGAAACTGAGTCCCAGAGAGATGAAATCCTTGTGTAAGGTCACACAAGTAGCAATGGGTATAACCGTCATTTGAACTTGGTTTCTATCACTCTAAACCCAGCACTGCAGATAAGTCACAGTTATTTTGTTTTCTATTTCTTAATGGAATGACCCTAGGAAGATGCTGGAGTAAAGAAAACCAACAATTTTACCTACCCTTTGCTGCTTCTAATAGAGAATTTTAAGTCAGGACTGCTTTCTGTAAGCCAGGAACAGGTGAAAGTCCCAGAATAATTCTTGGCCTCACACTTCAGATAGGTCTTGGTTTTGGGTTCTGGATTTAAAGAGGACAAAAATTCAAAGTTTAAGGGTTTTTTTTGGTGGGGGGGAAGAGTTTGATTTTGAAGATTTATAAGTTAGCAATACACACATGTCAAATGGCCCTAGTTCCTTTCCTGGGGAAAATGATGCCACTTCCATGAACTTTGTTGAATCGATTTTGGAAGCATTTCAAAGTTAAATTCAACTGCCAGTCATTGGAATGCTGATTCTGTAGGATGTTTTACACACACACACACACACACACACACACACACACACACACACACACACTTAAAAAAAAGTTTTTCCTTCAAAGTTGTCTTCTAGCAGTCTGTGTTTTCCTCCAGCATGAGGAGCTTCCTGTACCAAAGTGACCCTCTCTGACTTAGTAGATCAATCTATCAATCAATCAAGCAGCATTTAGTAAATGCCTACCATGTGCCAGGAACTGGGCTGCTGGACCTTGAAGGTACAAAGTCAAAAACAAACAGTCCCTGCCCCTATTGAGGGCGTATATTCTAACATGGGAGGGAGAGACAATATAATATACACATGTATGGGTAGATAAAAAACACATACAAAGCAGATACACAATAACCTTTCAAGGGGAAGGCCTGAACACCTGGGGGAACCAGAAAAGGCCTAATAGAAGTTTAGGTAGTCCATTGAGTCATATAGAAGTTAAATGATTTGAACAGAGTTACATAGCTAGTAGATATCACAGGCAGGGTTTGAACCCAACTTGTCTTGACTATAAGCCCACTCTTTCTACTGATTTATGCTAACAAGTTATGTATTATTAATATTTGATGCCTTTGATTACTCAATTTTTGTTAGTGTTTTAAGACCTTATTGAAGCATATAAACTACATCTGATCATTTCAATACCAAGATTAGATGAAAGTAGCCCAAAGAGCACCCTCACCAGAAAGAATTTGTAGCTTGGTCTCAGTGAAGAGTCTGATGTCAATTCACTCAACCTCACAGCCTTTTTAAAAAAATTGCACCAAGGTTAAAAGTGGAATTTACACTGCACTTGAGGGAAAAGAATTACCTTTCTGGTCTTTCACAATATCAGTGGACCAAATCCCGTCTTCCATTACTCGGATTAACAATAATTTGTGACTCAGCACCTTTCCTCCTTTCTGACAAATGTAGGTGCCAGCATCTGTAAACTCCCTCACTTGGACAGTCAAGGTTTTTCCTGTTCCTAAGATCTGGCCATTCTTGTCTGAGGTCCAGGTAATGGCGTTTTCGTCTTCAGATGAATCACAGGTGAGCACCACTGTTTCAGCTGGAGCATCAGGATGCCATTCTACCTCCACGACATAAACTGCAAAATCACAGGAAACAGAGCAATCTTGTGGTGTCATTCCTTTTGTAGGAATGGAGCCTCTACACCTTTCTGCCCTGAGGTTATAGTCTCATAACAGTCAAAAGCTTTTCCATGCACCCACCTGAAACATTTTCTGCTTTTTCAATCATTTGATGATATAGAGAATGACTAGCTTGTATCATTTCTCACAAAATCCAATTCACATACTTGAAGATAAAGCCTTGAAGATGCTGTCAATTTTTCCTCCACAATGTCTCTCATACCCACTCTATTCTTTTTATTCACACTGTAACCACTCTACTTCTATGCCTGATTACCTCTCACCTGAACTGCTACAATGGGGCTCCTAAGTGATTTCCAGCATCCAGGTTCCAATCTATCCTTTATATCTAACTTTCCACCTGACTAGCACCATCATTCTTCCAGTTAGCGAGGACCAAGTCATCTTTGACTTTTCCTGTCCTCTTTTCCTTCTCTCACATATCCAATCAGTTGCTATTCTATCTCTACAATATATCAAACCTTTCCCCTCCTTTCAACTTATATCACCATTATTCTAGTTAAAGATACTTTGAGGATAGACCTAAGAAGATCTAAATACAGGAGAACTCATGCTCCCTGAAGGTAGAGAAGGTTTCTTTTTCTTTATTTTTGTGGTCTTTGTATTCATTTGGTCATTACTTATTCAGTAAACATCTGTTTAGTTCCTAAGTGCAAGACATTGTGCTATGCTTTTGGATACAAAGAAAAAAATAAAATCTCCTTCAGGAGCTTGCCACAATACATAGTGAGCACTTAAATGTTTGTTGTTGAACTGAATTTCACTCTTACCACCACTGTCTCATCCCAGTGTTTATCTAGTCTGGAATAATAAATGGGTTTGTTGGAGTCAAATTTTCTTGGTAGAAAATTTCATAACCAAAAGAAGAGTCTTTGCCAGGTTTATTATCAAGCCATGACTTATAATGATAACAGAATTTTGGTCAGGAAACATAGTAGGTCAGAGACCTGGAATGTTTTAGTTCCATTACCATATGATTCTTTAAAAAAATAATATTGACATTGTTTAGTAACATCAACAAAATTTCCAGACTAAATATCGTCGGGTGCCACCACTTGCTAACTTATTTGACTGATGGTGATGGCATTAAAATATGAGTATCATCAAGAGGGGAAAGAAGACAGATGGCTTCTCACTCTAGAGATGCCTCTACTCCTGAAGTCCCCTCCTTTGATGGTGAGTTCCTGCCTGGAACCTCTATTTGAGGAAGATCCTAAAATCCATGCTCAATTCTAACCTGGCTCCATTCCTTACTTTTACACGTATCCTGAACAGAAATATTTGCTCCATACCCTCTCAGCTTTTCAGCTCCTTGTTAGGGTCATCTTCCTCCAATGAGAATGTAATCTCTTTGAGGGTGGGGACTGTCTTTTCTTTTCTCTACCTAGTATTCCCAGTGCTTATCTATCTATCTATCTATCTATCTATCTATCTATCTATCTATCTAT